CTGGGGAGCTTCAAGCATAAGATGCTATCCATGAGAACAGAAACTGAATAAAAGATTCCCTTAGGAGGTCCATGCATCTCTGTATGGACCAGTGTACAAGAGCTAAGGCTCCATTTTTACACAGTCACTTTGCAGAGTAAAATGAAAGCAAAGAATTGCATTCCTCTTAAAAGTCAGTTGTAGAAAGACAGTTGATTAATTCTGATAACTTCCTTGTAAACATCAAATATCCTCATATATGCTTCAGGTATCTCAATTTATTTTTTTTTTTGGTAGGTTCCTGTCTGATCACGTACTGGAAACACAGTCCCTGGTTAGCAGCAATAACATGTCCTCTCTGCAGACAAAAGGTAAGACTTATCTCCATCTGCATTATGATACATACAAAACGACAAGCTTGAGCTCTTAAGATCTCAAGGATCAACTTAATTTATCCTTTACTTTTCTGCAGCATCTCAAAACCTACTTAGACTTGAACGACCCTGCAGCCATTTGCATTTATCATTTGACAAATGTCGTATCAGGCAACTCTGTAAAATATTAAACAGGCCTCCAGCATTTTACTTCTGTAGAGTTTATTGAATCTCTGGGATAACATTCCATGAGAAGCAATATGGAAGTTCTTCCTCTCATCTAACCCCTGCCAGAGGCTGCCTGTTGTACTGGAAGGCTGGATGCAGGTTATAAAAGGAAAACTTTCTTGCTATTGTGGAACTGCTGGAGCTGGACAAAGGTCTAGAGGAAGACACATACTACAGAACGTTATCCTTTATACTGGAGACTAAAATGCACCACATCAATGCCAATCTTTTTTTCTTATGAAGGTGGTTCTTCTGGATAGCATCTCTTGTGAAAAGCAACAAGACAGGCCAAGTAAACAAACTGTACATGACATTAGAGATTACAACAAGCGTTTCTCAGGACAACCTCGACCTGTAAGTATTTATAAATCTATATTGACCTAGTTAGTACTGCATAACACACAGAGGACTGAAAGAGACTCGGCAATGAAAACTATTTTCTATTGTTATGTGAATTACCTTCCACACACTTACTGGCAATATCATCGTGGAAGTGTCACCATCCACTGCTGGGTCCAGCACCTTCAGTAAAGGTGCTTCTCGGAGTTCCTGGCTCAGAGGAGTCCTTCCGCAGTCATCCAAGCAGGGAGGAGAAAGCAGTGTGAGCTGAAATACAAGAAGCAAAGCAGACCTAGAGACAGCCAGGCTGGAACTTTCAAATATGAACTCAGATTTGAACTGCAGGATTTTAACTTGCCTCTAAAATTTCAAGTCAGATTTCAGCTTAGAAAGCAGCTGGTTTATCCCCCATGTATCGCCAAATTCAAACAGTCTGCACTGGCTCTGCACTGTATTTTCCAACCCAACAAACTAGCATTAATGAAGAGCAATAATCACTCACTCCTATGGTTCCTGTCCACATGAAAGAGGCATCATTTTCAAGCATTCATAGCCTACACTTGATGCCAGATTTTAAAGACGGACACATACTCAATGCAGCCATTAAGGCTCAGTTTCCAAAAGGATTCAATGTCAAGCATAATACTTTCTTTTCAAAGTGTCAGAGCAATGGGGATTCCTTTTAGGAGCGTGCTTCCAGATACTGCAAAATAATTGAACAGCGTAGGTAGATTTGGACAGCACAGAAAGTTTCTGCATTGAAGAGGCTGGAATCTAAAAGTGCTTAAGAGACACATTGAATGGCAATAACTGCATGCATCAGAATGCAAAATAACATAACTCTCTGAATATTTAGCTTGCAGATTACCTTTATGACATGCCGTTATTCCTGGCTCTTTTCTTGAGAGGAATCTTCACATGGGGTGGTCTTGTATGGATTTTTTTCCTAAGAGTTGCTGTTTGCTCCTTTGGAACTATCATATGCTTGTCTTCTCCATTTGACACGAAGCCTGGGCCTCTCTGTAGGACACTCGGAACAGCTGATGACATGGTGGTTGTTTCTCTTCTTTTAATTTGCATGATAAACATTTGTCAGCAAATCGCATCTAATGGGGTAAATATGGCAAGGACTGCAGCTCAGAGCTTGCTGTCGGAGTCCTGACAGACTCAAACTTGGATTCCTTGGTCAAACTTCATCAAGCGATGATGGATTTGTCATTCTGCTGCTGACAAAGGCTGAAGCAAGACCTGGCAATACTTGGCATGGCTAAGTGACTCCGTGTGCAGGTGCTCAGAAGGCCAGTTTTACACTGAGTGCTTGCTCGACCCTTTCACGCTACATTTTTCTGTAGCCTACCTTCATACAAAGTGCCTGAATTGCAAATGCCTAAAGCTATGAACAGACCTTAAAACTACAATGCCAATGAACTTGCAGTTGAAGACTTTTAGAACTCCTTGAGCTTTACCATTTTACATCTTGACTCAATTTGCATAAAATTTTAATTTGAGAACTGAGCAGACTGTACCATTTGCTAAGTCTTGCATAACACAAGGAATGTGAGTATCGCTACCAAATCCTGTATCAGTGCTTTGTGTTATCACAGCTGATGACACATCCACTGGAATATAGAATTTTTGTTTACAGCTCTGCAGCGAGGACAGTCCTGATTTAAAAATGGATTAAATGAAACCAGTAGTAACACTGGCTTGGAACAAAAATGCAACTATAAAGTAGAAGTATTACAAGGGGAGAAAAGCATTAAAAAATCATCCAAGAAATGTGAACGAATCTCTGTGTAAGTCTTCCATACAAGCCTGTGTAGGGCACACAGCTTCCTTGAACTCTCTGCATCTAAGCTTTAACAAAGTCAGCGTGACCATTTGCTTCCTTTCTAGACTTCACACACTCCTCGTGATTTCCTTGTAAGTCTTGATGTCGGTTCAGCCAGAGAGATCAAGGCCAGTTTTGTGATGATGAAATAAATAGCAGGAAGTTTATGGAAAGTTTGCCAAAGGTAGGAGGTGTGAGTGCACGTCTGTGTTGAGCTGCAGCAAGTTAAAAATGCTGGTACAGTGCCAGACAGCCCTACACATCTGTCCCTCTATAATCTGTACATTTGCAATGTGTTTGGAGTCAGTAGACTTCATTTTTACATATGAATTATACATTAAAATTTATTTCTGTTTATTGTTCACAATACACTGGTCTCCAACTGCTTTTTCCTTCTACATATTTTCAGCTGACATATTTTATTGTGCCCTTGAACTGTAAGCTATGATATACCGTCATGTTGCAGTTGTTTTCTTGCTTGTTACACTTTTTGCTATGATGTTTCTTCATTTTATTCCCATCAACTTTCATTGTCTTTAATTATGTCCCTGAACTTGTAAAGCTGTTTCTCTTAACAATGGGTACTTTGGAAGTGGCAACAATTCCTTTTCCATGAACTACAAGGCAGGAAGTGCATTGTTTCTTTAAAAAAATTACCAGATGTTTCTGAGTGCTGACTACTAACGTAAAAAAACCCAGAAACATTTATTTTCCAAGTTCTCCAAGTGTAATTGTGTTATTGTGTAACTTCTGTTTGCATTTAACTGGGAATTACAGCCTATGCCGATACTAAAGAATGGAATTTCTCTCAAGCTAAGTATATAGAGATGGACTCCATCTTTATGAATACTGACTCCCTGGAAAGGGACTGTGGGTTTTGTCTCTTGCATAACACAGGCTCACCGAGAAGGTGGCAGTTTGAAGAAAAGAAGGGTTCTCATGAGTGACCTGTAACAGAGTTGCAGTTGATCAGAATATGCTCACCCTTTGCTTCTTAATGCTCTCCTTCAGCTGGGGACCTTGGTTTTACTTTTTAAACAGAATAGGATCTTTTTTTAAGAAGTAACAGACAAATGGCAGAGAAAGAAAGAACTTCTGAGAGGATTTCACTGGAGGCACTGGCAGTGTTTGGATCTTGCAAGATCAAAACAATTTATACTGTCAGTGAGGAAACATTTTTGCTGTACACAACCAAAGTGTCCAAACTCTCCCCTTCCAGAGCCCAGTTATGCCATGACCTGTTGTTGTGAGCCTGGCAGCACCTTGTAGGACTAACAAGGACTACCCAGGGCAGCCTTCGAAATCACCTGGGAATAAATGAAAGCCTTTTGTTGAGTGCATTTGACCAGCAGGCAGCCAGGAAGGTTTCTGAGCTTTGACAAATGCAAGTTCAAGGAAGGAAAACCCTCTCTCTCCCTCTGCATTCTCCGTACCTGCTGCTGCCCAGTCCAGCCCTGCAAGCTCTGAGCTGAAGTAACGTGATGAGAACAGACAGGGAGAGCTGGGCTGTTCCAGGGCTGGCTCCCCATGAGACAGCGGGCGGGATGGATGGGATGCACTGCATTATGAACATATCTTCAGCCACTGTGTCTGCTCAGCCTAGTCTTTCAGCATCAACAGGGGGCCGCTGCACATCTGCAGCGATTCCTGCGCACCGAGGACAAGTTACTTGCAAAAGACAAAGTGGCACAAATTACTGATAGCAAACCCACCGTGCTGCAAGAATGGAGACAGAAAAAAAGAGAGCAGGAAACAGAAGAAAACAAAGAGAAAAAGACTGCACAGCTGCAAAAGTGATTCCCAAATATCAGCCATCAAAAAGTACTATAATCGGTGTAAAAAACCAAACCAAAACCAGAACTTGCCATTGGAAATCACGTTTGGGGCTTAGCTGTAGCACACAGTAAAATTAAAAGGATCATGTGTGATACCAGGTGTAATCACCTGTGCAAAGCATGGCAAAAGGCAGTGACAACCAAAACCAGAACTTGCCATTGGAAATCACTGTAGCACACAGTAAAATTAAAAGGAGCATGTGTGATACCAGGTGTAATTACCTGCGCAAAGCATGGCAAAAGGCAGTGATTCAAGTCCATCTGAGTCAGTTATGTTGTTCCTTGTGCTGCGGCCAGCCCAAATACCAGCACTGGGGTACCTGTGGCTGATTGTCTTCTCTTCTCTGACTGGAGCAAATGATTATTCCTCATCCTTGGGGTGCAGAGATTATTGACAGAAAATACCCAGTACTTCACAGTGAAGTAAATGCATTATTTTATTTCTTATTAAAAATTAAAATGCACATCATTTAAGGTAAAAGGTAAAAGTATATGTTAACATGGACAGTACAGTAAGAAGGAATTACCCTCATCACAAGTATCTGGGAATTCGTTGTCCCTGCTGTTGCCAGATCATGTGACTCTGGATTAGAAGCTGTTCATGATGGAGCGATACTCTCTCTGATGTTCCACAAGTTTCAAAAACACTTCATATTTCTTGTCATAATAGCTGTGTAAGAAAGTTAATTTCAACAAAGTCTGAGATTTTAAGATTTAAATCCCTTGTTTACTTCCTTCACTTAGCATCAAAGCTGCTTTGCCTCTTCCCTAATTACAACTTTTACTGGGATCAGAGTCCCATGCTCTGCCAGAGCGCAGTTGCCACCCAAACGAGTGATTTCAAGTTGTAATTGTACCTTTCCTTTACCCTGTAGACAACTTCGTGCTTTTCAGTCAGTTTTCCCCAAACTCTCCGCTGTGCCAGTGGGCAAGCACCGGGGTTTTGCTGCTCTTCCACCCATTTACCCCCGCTGGCAGAAAACCTGCCCCCACGGAGCCCTTCCTGTGAAGGAGACCTCCCGGCTCCCCGTCCCTCCAACGCTCACCGGTTTCTGGAGCGGACCCCGCGCCCCCGGATCCCCAGTGCCGCCAGGGGGAGCCCTCGCCCCGCTGTGGGAGCGGAGAGGTGGAGCGGCCGCACAGCGCCCGCGGACCCCGGCCCCGCACGCCGGTTCCTTGCGGGGTTTTTACAGCTCCCTGGCGTTCACTCGCCCCAGGACAGGGCAGGGCAGAGACCAGCAGGCGACAGGGCTCACCCTGCAGCCAAGGTAAAGAGCTGGGTGCCCATTTAATCCTTAAAACATCTGGGTGACACATCACTGCATTCAAGCAGAACTATAAAGAGACAAGAGTTTAACTTCAGTAAATTCTCATGGTAAATGAACCGTGAACTGAAATCAATTCAGGAAATGAACACACAAAAGTCAGGGTTACCTTTTATGCTCGTGGTTAGGTTGCACAACTCTCCCGATTTTCCCCATTTTCGCCATGGCCTCCTAGTAAAAAGAAAAACACAAACTGGAAAAGCCTGTTTTGATTTAAAATACTTTTTGACAAGAACAAGATGTTTCAAAACCAATCGGAACACTACTGATGTATTTTGTTTCGGCTCAACAGGCCAGATGGCATAAAATATGTTCAATCCCACTATATAGGAGTCATGAGAACAAAGTACTGCAGACCCCTCAGTAAACCAAAAGCTGTTCCTCTTTCTTACTGGGAGTCCGAGGCAGAACAGACTTATCTTTTATTATTTACACTAACCAAAGGAAATGTTGAACACTGCATCCCCAGAGGGAAGATTTCTCAAATAAAATGATACTTTACATGAGATCCCTGAACCATATTCTTAAAGTACCAATTCCCTGCAGCAAGGGAGGACTCGAATGTGCTCCAGAAGCTAAGCCTAACTTGCAAAGTTTTGTTACGGAGCCCACAGCTGCCCTCCCACTCCAGTATAAAGTTATAAGAGCCAAACTTTGATCCTACTCTGCATTTGTCCAAAGTGAAGTCAGAAGAAGGGACCTAGCAGAACGCCCTGCAGAAATGGTCCCTGGGACAGTCACATGAATAATTCAGCTCCCTTCCCGAGCTCTGTGATTCTGAAGCTGTTTTCAGTGGCAGTTCTTTCACAAGGAGCATTGAAGCAATAGCTTTCAGACTGAACAGCGTTAAACAGAAAAGATCAGGATTCAAGAATCAGTGTCCAACTTAATCTCTATCTGCATTCATAGTTTCTCAGCAGAACCCTAAATGTGTTTTAATGTTGGCGCCTAATGCGCAGCGCTGTGAGAGTATCAGAACAACCCCTGGAGAGCAGTCAGCCTGAGCTGCTGCTGGAAGCCATCTAGGCAACAACGAGGGCCAGATTTTTAAAAGGGTTGGATGATTTTATAGGCTGTAATATCTGCTGTAGTAAAATCTTTGCTTTCCACTAATCCAACATTTTACAGCCAAGGATCCCCTAGAACTTTACAACGCAGATGAGGGATGTAAGCACACTTTCACTGGACCAGGAAAGGCAAGGAGGCTCTGAGGATAAGTGAGATGACCGGCAGACCTTACCTCTTCTGATTTCCCATTTCCCCTGCGTTAAATAAATATGATCATGACCTAAATGCCAGGATGTAAGCGGGCTGCCCATGAAGCCCACAGATGCTCTTTCTCCCATGTGCAGCAGTGTTTGCTCAGCAAGGCACAAATTGCCTGCGATGCCACCTGTGTGCCAGAGCAGCAGGTGGACCCAGCTCTGCCTGCCGGGCTGAACCAGCAGAGTTACCTGGCATGTTCAGGGTGTGTTTGCTTCATCCTACAGCATCGACACGTCCTTTTACACTGCCTGTCCAAATACGCTACTGGAATGTGGAACACCTACTTTCTACATTTGTCAACTTCAGCAAGTTAATACTGGATGAAATCATGGCTCTCCCAAAGTAAAAAGCACTGCCAGTGATGGATTTTACTCTGCTAGGGCTTCTGATAAGACAGCAGGGAGTGTTTCTGTGCACTCATATGCCTGTACTCTTTCATATGTGGAGAAGTTGACCGGCCTTTGATTCCCCAAGAAACTCTCTTGAAATAACACTGCCAGCGAGATAGCGTGTTCTTTTCTCCGGGACATGTGAGCCTGCTGGCACAGAGACACAACACACCAGCCAGATTAAAATACTGGCACGGAAAGGTCGCTATCTTTCCCAGTAAGAGAAATGGGCATTTATTCCCTGCTCTCTAACAGGTGATACTAGCTCAAGCATTGTTCCCGTTTACAACGGTCTTTTACAACTCCCTTACATGGCCAGCTGGATTTAGAGGCTACCCAAAAAAATGAATGAGCACACAGGAAAAAAACCAAAACACCTCAAAGTAAAAGACAAATCGCTCTGTTACAATCAATACTGCCTTTCCAGATAACACTGTGTCTTACAGAGAACATACAGCAACAACAAAGCTGCTCAAAGCAATGTCACTAATGGGAAGTCATCTTGCTTTACACCTCCTTTCGAATTGCCCTGGAAATACCACATGAAAATAAAGCCAAGACATCTGAAGAGTCTAAACATCTCAGACAAATCCACTTTCTTCTCAGGTGGAACAAAAACGAAAGGGTGGGCCAAACTCCGTGCACACGCAGGACCTGCCTGCTGCTGCCCCGTTCTGGGCAGCACAAGAGAACAGGACTCAGCCAGCGCTGTTCCCAGGACGTGTCCTACTACAGCCAGAAGCACTCTGCACACTCGTGTTTTGCTTTACTCTGGGGCCTCTTATGGCTTCCAGTGCTGAAAAATGCATTACTGCTTCTTTGGGAAATAAAGCAGCCTTTGGAGATAAACATATCACAGAACCACAGAATCGCTCAGTTGGAAAAGCCCTCTGAGATCATCACGTCCAACCGTTCCTGTCTACCCCCTAAACCATATCCCTAAGTACCTCATCTACCCGCTCTTTAAACACATCCAGGGATGGTGACTCCACCACCTCCCTGGGCAGCCTGTGCCAGCTTCTGACGACCCTCTCAGTAAAGAACTTCCTCCTTATCTCTAACCTGAACCTCCCTTGGGCACTGCTTGGTGCCGTTTCCCCTTGTTCTATCCCCCATCACCTGGGAGAAGAGACCAGCACCCACCTCTCCACAACCTCCCTTGAGGCAGTTGTAGGTGGTGATGAGGTCTCCCCTCAGCCTTCTCTTCTCCAGGCTACACAAGCCCAGTTCCCTCAGCCGCTCCTCATCAGGCTTGTTCTCCAGAGCCCTCCCCATCCTTGTGGCTCTTCTCTGAACACGCTCCAGAATCTCAACATCCTTCTGATAGTGAGGGGCCCAGAACTGAACACAGCACTCGAGGTGCGGCCTCACCAGTGCCAAGTACAAGGGGAGGATCACCTCCCTGGACCTGCTGGTCACACTGTTTTTCATACAGGCCAAGATGCCCTTGGCTTTTCTGGCCATGTGGGCACAGTGCTGGCTCATGTTATGGCTCATGTGCTGGCTCATATCTTCAGATAGGTTTTATTTTTATGCCTTTACTCATCTAACTCCAGGTCTCGTCAGGCTGGTTCAAGGGAGAACAGGCGCCAGCACTGACTCCATCAGGCATGGAAGGTGTGCGGGCAGCCTGGCTCAGCACGGCTGTCCCGCTGGCCACCGCAGCCCCGGCCCTGGCTCAGGCTCCCTCCCACGTGTCCCCTCACTTCGCACTGTGCCACTGCCACGCGCTGGGGCCAACACCACACAGGGCACCTGTGACTCCCCATCTTTCAGCCCAAGTGCTTTGCCCTCTTCAAAGGGCCAAACCGAGTCTCCACAGGGCAGAGGAAAGGCTCCTGTGCTCCCTGAGAGGTCTCCCCAAACCTGAAACCCATCCTCTGACTGGCAGCCAGGGAGGAAGCCACTGCTCTGAGTTTATGGTTGCACTTTATGATCTTAAGGGTCTTTTCCAACCTGAATGATTCCACAATGGGGCCGGGCACAGGACAGGCTAGAGATGTCCCTAAAGGAAAACTGGTCCGTCAAGGCCTCCTCTAAACTAGGAAACAGGGCCTGGCTGCTGCTTCTCTTCTTCGGCTGGTTCACCCATCTATCCACCTTTAGCTAAGGAGGAAGGTGCCAAAGCAATCTTTCCAGCTTATCAGCTAAAATACTTTTGTATTTTTAAATCTACTGAAAACACATAGGTCTTGGAGAACCCACAGCACTAAGGTCTCACAGAAATGACCATGCTAATGTGGAAACATGTGAAAAAAATACACAGCCAACAATTGTCAACAACTCAGTCATTCTAGGTTGCTCAAAATATCCTAAATGAATTCTGTCTCTTAATTTGCATTTTGGTGGTGTGGATTTTGGTTTTTTTAAAGTCAGTTTGGTCATTGTTAGATTGAACAAAAACTTTACTCCCAGAGGAGAGTCTTTTCAACAATTTTCTGAGGACAAAGAGGAACAGAACATTGAAAATATGAATTTATAATGAAATCGGAAACAAAGGAACATTAGAATTGCATTACTGAATCAGATCAACCTTGTGCACTGTTCTGTCTCCAACAAAGCCTTAAATATAGCAGTGATAATACTGCTGTTCAGAAATAGTTTGTTTGAGGGTTGACATCCAGATCCGTCATTCCAGTCACCAAGAATTTCACAATCTTAATTTGAATGATGCTCTATCTTCTTTGTTTGCCAGTCTAGACACTACAATGAATACAGTGATTTAAACACAATGAATTCTCTCTTGAAACAAAATATTTTGTAAAATTGCTTTTTAATAATTTCTTTTCTCTCTTTCCATAAAGGCTGTGCTATAAATAAACCCTGAAAGTTCGTATTTGATCATAATTTCTAAAGGCTGGGCAAGAGGCAAGTGAAGGGTTTACACAGAAAAAAAAGGGAGGCACTGTGGAGCAGAAATAAAGGGACGCATTCATGATTTCTAACCTTTTGTTGGAGTGTTAAAGCTGAGACAGATACAAGCCAGTAAACACTCTGCTTGCCATGGAGAGAGTTAGTCAAACGGGGTTACCCTGCCCGGGACAGAAGGAACACAGGCCTGGGGAACCAAATTCTCCAAGGGCCACCAGGATTTCAGAACAAGGTGCCATTTTGCTGCTGGAAGGGCGACCCAGCTGGGAAGGTCAGTAGTCATTCAAAGTCATTTGGTACTGGCAGCTGAATTCTGCTCTTCAGCATGACCTGGGGCAGGGGACAAGTTCAAGACACCAGGGTCGCCTCAACAGGCAGCAGATCTCCCAGGGAAACCTCATGTCCTAGGGAAGCCCTATTTTGAAGCTGGAAACTTCAACTCTTGTCCCTTCAATTACTGGAAATTAATGGGATGTAGACCCTTTAAAAGCACACATCAAATGAGAAATCACATTTAGGGATGCCAGCCTTAGGAAGTCAAGCAACAAAATCCCATTGAAATTAATGAGCTGGTACCATCAGTCCCCTTAAGAATGTGGGCTTCTCCTTTATTTAGGTACTTCAAAAATTGCATCCAAAGTTAAA